TCCCCCAACTGCTCATGGCTATCCCACGCCCATCCTGCTAGCCCTGACTCTCAATGTATGCCCCGTGATCCGTCAGACTTTCTCCTGTCAATCACCCATCTCACGTCTGGCACAGGAGAAGGAGTGGAAAGGGGCAGAGGCAGTGAAACTCGCCCAAGGGTCCTCAGCCCTAGTCCAAAGACTATAATCCCCAGTGTCTATAACCCTATGTGACCACGGCAATCAGAGGCTTAAAAATGCCACTGTAATGGGCTCCTCTTAACCCACCCGAGTTAAGTAGTATACAATGATGCGAAAGAGAGATTTTTCCAACACTATGTCCATCCCCTGAAGGTATTTACTTTAAATCAGCAACAAGTACAGTCCCTTTAAATATCCTGAGCTTTTTCCAGCTACCAGAACACTCAAATGCACAGAAGATGAAATAATTGGTAGAATTTTAATGCTTCTTTGTTTTTCATGTGACCACTCTGTACAAGTCAAAGGGATAGGCCAACAATAGCACAGCCTGCGTCATGTTTGTTACTAATATGACTGCCAATTAATCCTGACATGGGAGCTTGGCGGGTTACCCAAAACCTGCTATTTTACCACCTCAGGGGGTTAGCACTTGGACATTTCTATGACAGTCGGTACCAATCAATCAGCTTTCCTTTTTAAAAGCTGAGCCTTTCATAGGAACTGTGATGAGTCCTTTTATACACCACACCCAAGGCCACCCATTTCCCCAAACAGAATTGCATTTGGTTTGTTGATAATCACACTTCGAAGCCAACTCTCAAAAATGTTTATTCTTATTTCTTTTCCTCTAAGGGGGAAAACTATCTCAAATGTTAAGACAGAAACTCAAGTCCCAGAGAGTTTTCTCATATTATTTTATATTTTAAAATATTACAAGAGGGTGCTTCTCTGGAGATGTGAACTTTACAGCTGCCAAAGATAGTTGACTTTCTCCAAATCTGTTATCAATGGATCCCAAGCTGGTTTAAGTCAGTTCTATTCTGAGTAATGACACAAGGCTGGGACAAACGCCATTCTAAGATATTTCTAGGACCCCCTGGCAAATGGTAATTTATCTGGAGACAGCGAGGCAGGCAAAGGAAAGACAGATGGGGAGAATGAGTCTCCTGGGAGCCCTACACTGAAGCAAGAGTCCTAAATCAGTGCCAGAGACCAGTTCTCAGGGTGAAGGCCTGCCTCCCATCACTCACTCAACCCTCATCCTTTGGCCTCCAATGATTCTTTCTACTGTTGCTAACACAGGCCATTCTAAAGAGATCATCAAGCTGCACAAACTTTTACTGGCAAACGTTCAGTGTTTCCCCAGAACCCCATCTTCTGGAGCTGCGGCATGAAAAAATCCCAGCCTAAAGTACGAGCTTTGTGTTTTCCCTATCCTACGAGTCACTGCCTTCAGGAAGCTTGTGGGTATAGGGCTCTCGCAAAACCCACTTTTCCCTTCCCCCTTTCCTGTTGTTCCCCCACCTTCCTGATTTATTGAGATATAATAGACAAATACAAATTGTATATATTTAATATAATATATTGTATAATTATTGTGCAACATGATATTTTGCTATATGTAACATTGTGGAAGGCTTACCACAATCAAGCTAATTAACATGTTATCCATCACCTGACATAGTTATCATCTGGGGAAGAATGAGAACCATTAAGATCTATTCTCTTAGCAGATGTCATACAGTGTTGCTAATTGCAGTCACCGCGCTGTAGATCAGAGCTCCAGACCTTATTCATCTTGCATGTCTGTAACTTGGTGCCCTTTGAATAATGCCTCCCATCTCCCCCACCCCCAGCCCGATAACCACCATTCCACACTTTGCTTTAAAGAGCTCTGCTTCTTTAGGTTCCATAGATAAGTGAGAACATGAACCTAGAGGACGTTATGCCAAATGAAGTAAGCCAGACACAGAGAGACAAATACTGCATGACCTCCTTTTCTATTTTTCACTTCCTCCTCTCTGGCCACTGCTCATTCAAAGGAAGAGATAGGTTGTCCAAGGTCAAGGCAAGAGTACACTGGCCTCAGAATCAGAAATCCTGGCCCCCCTAGAGATTTTGTGATCTCAGGTAAGTCTCTAAGCTCCCCCTGCCTCAGTTGCCTCATTTGGAAAAGGGAAGGATGTCTGTCCTACCTGACTCAGGGGCTTCTGTGAAGAGTGAAGGGCACAGAGCATGTGAAATATCTTGAAAAATAAAACCCACTCCCCACCTGTTAGTGCTAATTCACCGCAATGTCCCCGAGTCCACCACCACCCAAGCAAGTCACACATCACCAGCCATTGTATGTAAAGGGACCCAGGGGCCAACTGACTTGGGATCAGGCATTGCATGGGATGTTTCTAGAGCACCATTCTGGAAAGTTCACTGTGCCCCATGCACTCAAGCATCGCCCCACTGAATCCTCTCAGCTGCAGTTCTGGAGATGAGGAACCTGATGCTGGTGAGGCTGAGAGCTGGGGTTGCCCTTGCCCCCTGCTTCACATGTGCACAAGCAGGTGTTAGTGGTGGTCTTCTTCAGCAGAAAGGCAAGGTTTTTTGGAACCCTTAATGGTGCCCTGGAAGTGCAATGCTGTTTAGCTCCAAGAAACCTGAATTGTGTGTGTGTGTGTGTGTGTGTGTCACAGGGAAGAGGGGTGTGGCCACCTCCCACCCCATTCTTTGGTAATCCTGCACCTCCATCGTGCTCTGCCAAGAAGCTAAATGGCAACCATGAGGTAAACATCATTTAAAATTTTACTTTGCCCCTCTATTTATGAGGCACAGCTCCTATTACTCATGCAGGGGAAGGAAAGGTGCCATTTCTTGGGAATATAGCTCATGTGTCCCCTGACGTTGCCAGGGCAACCCTGCAGCTGCCGTACAGAGTCTTCTTTGCAGGGACACATGTTGGGAAGATCTGGGTTGGAGGTGAAATATTGTGTGGACAAAGCACGCCTGCACCACGGGAAGCAGCAGTCAGGTGCTGCGGTGGGTGGGCTACAGGGTAGAGGGCAGAAGCTCCTTAAGGCTGACAGACTCCTTTTTTGTGGGGGAAACTAATTTCACAGAGTTTCCAATAAGGTCTGTCCTTCTGAGATGTCATCTGTTAGCTTAGTCTGACCTTCCAAAATGTTGACAAGCTGCATCTTGCTCACTATTTATAAGTTCACTGAGGGGAGACTTTTTTTTTGAATGCCCATCTTCATGAAGTTTCTACAACCCAGGAATATAAAAATAGGGTGAACACTGCCTCTGCAGTCATGCCGTGTGCACTTAGACACGTGCAGAAAAGAAACTGGTTTTCCAACAGCCAGATCTTGCTTCCACCAGTCAGAAACCAACTCTGGCCCACTGTCAGCACGTTCTGAAACAAGGTCCTTAGCCCCCATTTGGCCATTTGTCTTTACTGAGGCTTTGTGCTGGTCATTTCCCCTCCTTGAACATCAGGGCTCTGCTGTAGATGGAGATGCCACAGTACTCCCTAAGCCTCCTCCTCATTCTGGCATCTTCTGCACAGTGCTTTGGAGATGGGAAGAGCTCAGGAAATGCTTTAGAATATGAAGAACATCTGGTTGACTTTAGGCTGTACGGCTTCCCTCCCTGTCTTCTCCTTAGTGTTTTTTTTGCATGTGTCTGTCTGAGGGTATGTTTTGGGCGTGGGGTGTGGGAGGGTGGTTGGAGACCCAGGAGGAGAGAGGAGAGAGAGCAACGCTCAGATGAATGACATGTAGGATATCCCAGAAGAAGAGAGGAAACAGGAAGAGAAGAGTGTGGAAACGCTGGCCCAGTACTTTCTAGGGAAGAAGTGGGCTGTGGGTCAAGAAGGTGTTTGGCAAAAGGTTTCCGGAGCGCATTCTGGTGAGGCTGATCCTTGGCAGGAGTTGGGGGCAGAGAAGAGTGAGGATATAGTTCAGTGACAAGTGTTAAGTGACAGCACAGTGCTTGGCACAAGTTCCCTTCCCCAGCATGGCAGAAGGCGGAAGTCACCATGTGGCTGTCACTGCCCTCATGACACAGGAAGACCCATGGAAGGAGCATGAGGCTCCTGGCATCCCGGCACTGCTCCTGTGACTCACTAGCTTGAGCAAAAAAACAAAGTGTCATCTCGCTGGGCCCCTATGTGCTCAAATAAGAACAAGGCTAATAATGATCCTATAATAATAGCACCTCTCCCATAGCCATCAGGAGGATAATATCCAAAGTAGTAAAGTATGTGAAAATACTTTGTGCACATATCAGTATGTAATGTCATGCCAAATTTCTGAAGACTCGTTACTATGAAAAAAAAATCAGTGAAAAGGCAGAATAAACACTCTGCTTTGACTAAAGTCAGGAAACCACCACTAGCCCTATGCCTTATGGCTCTGCCCTTGGAGATCTGGATCAACCCCAGCGAAGTCTCCTGGCCATTCTCATTGGACTCTATTCACACGGGGGTTTTGCAGGGCAGCTCCTTACAGCTCCTCTTTCCATGGAAAGCATTTCTGCTGCTTCTTGAAAAATAAGCCCATATGGGACTTGATACCTGGGTTAACACTTCACTAGGTACACTGTCTCTGGCCTTCTCTTAGATGGAGTTAGAGACTCCACATCACGTCTACATGGCTGTGATGGCCACCAACCCAAGAGCTCCTTCTTTTTCAAGATGCTTTGTAGAGAAGGCAGAATGAATACCAACTCAACTTCTCCAGCCCATGAACACAAAGTTTAAGGATTCATCTGCCCAGCCCCCTCTTTCTACAAGTGAAGACAAGGCTAGATAAACGTGCCTTGACCACAGCCACATCCCCTGTCAATGGGAGTCAGTTCCAGAGTCCACCTTTCTTTCTACTCTACGGCATTTCACAATCTCCTCTCAGAATGGTTAAAATGCATTTTTAAGATTCAAAGCTGAGCAGCATTCCATCATTCATGATCCATCCCCAAATACATTTTGGAAAATGAATCTGCATTTCCCTGAGACGTGAGCTCCAGCAGAGTCCAGCCCACCTTCTTACCTGTAAATTTGCACAAGGTGGTAAGACATGAGTGGGGATTTCATTCTCAGACCCTGCTGGCCCCAGGGGCTTGTTCTTGAGCCGAAAGGCTGTAGTGGTGGTGGCAGTGGTGGTCTGAACAGGGAGGGCTGGCTGCCACACAGTCACATCAGAGCCATTGCCAAAGGCTTGAATTGCATTTTCTGCAGTAAAACAGGAGGAAATCCAATTTCAAAGTCAAGCCGCAAATGTAACAGACAGGATGCATGAAGCCAAAGAGGCTCACTAGAAGTTCTGATTACAGCACTGGACTTCTCTGACAAAACCCAGCCATCCAGCCACCTTATACATGCTCAGAACCAGCCACTGGTGCAGGTGCTCAAATCAACTCATTTATTAAACGCTGATCTGGACACTTAGCTATGCTTCAAGTGCAACAAATATTGTGTTCCTATTTATGTATCAGGTGCCAAGCAAGACCCTTGCCCTGAGATTCTCACCAATTGAGCTCTTTGACACCTGCCTCAGACCTGTTATTTGGGGTCACAATCACTGTTCTGACTTTTGAGAAAATCCTTGTGTTCTGTCAAAATTCTATATTAAAAGCAAACTAATGAGTGCTTTTGCTTCTTAAATACCACATGCGTAATTATGAGGTGACTCAGTGGCATGCACACTAATGTGACAAGCAGTAACATCAAATAGCAAAAAACGTGATTCCTATGACAGAGCACCTACCACAAGGCAGGCACTGCTCTATGCAGAGATGTAACTAATTTCGTTAAAAGAAAAACCTACCCCAAACCTCATCAATATAGAGGGAAAATTTAAGTAAGATGATTCTTTTCCCTTTCTGCTCCCAGTCTTCCAAAACAAAATCTGCATAATTAGGCAGGAACAGCCCTGCTTAAATGAAAAGTTTAAAATGCAAAACTTTAAAAGCTTATTACAATTTCATGGGATTAGATTGTTTTTATGGCAGGAGTAAATTGGTTGTGTGTTGCTCCCCTCCCCAAAATGAATTAAAAACAGTTTTTAATCAGGTCCTCAGGGATTTGGTCTGGATTTAGGAATTTTTTATTTCATATTAATTGTATAAGAAATCAGACTCTTCCGTTTGGCATCTGAATGTGCAAATTGTGAATATATGACTCTTAGCAGGCATTTTTTGATATACAAGACAGAATAATTTTAAGCCTAATCATCCTCTCCAAAGTGGCATTTTTGTTCTAAAGCTGTTATCCTTTAAGTTCAGCAAATTGGAAGCTTGTTTTCCAAAACTTCACATTTTTTAGACTGTGAGAAACAGCTTCAAATTAATATAGATGCTTTTTATGTTCCTAGCTATGTTACATGGCTTATGGGTGGGTAGAATGTAGAGAAAAATGTCCATGGGGGGCTGTTTCCTTGAATGACCCCAAACAACAAGAACCAAACCCTTCCATTTTCTTGTGAAGACATGTAGATTCAAGAGACCCTTGCCATTTACTGAAACTACCTGTGTTTCCCAGTGTGTTTGCCTTGCCACGTGGGGAGGCTGTTGGCCTGCTCAGTCATTCATTCAGACGACAATGGCACATCTACTCAGCACCGGGCACTGCTCTCTGCTGAGGCTACAGCAGTGGACCATAATGACAGTGACAAAGGACAAGAATCTCTGCCCTCCTGAAGGTCACATTCTGGTTGGAGAGGCAAAGAAGTAAGATATATAATACATTAGGTGGTAAGAAATGCTTGGAGAAAACTGAAGCAGGGGTGAGAATGGAGAGCTGCCGTTGAGATACTGTGGTCCAGGGAGGTGAAGGTGGCATCTGAAGAAGGACTTGGATGACAATGGTTGATATCTCACCTCCGCCTCCTGTTCGTTCTTCTCTCTCCCCTCACCTCTGCCTTGCTCTTTAGCTTAAAAAATAACTGTTTCCTCCCCAGTAACCAGAAGTAAACAATAGGTTAAAGTCATGTTCAAGATAGAAGAATCTGGAAGAAATTTGCTAATCTGAAATTAGCCGAATTGGGTTAATGCATTTGGGTTGGAATTTATAAATTCCCAATGCCTTCTACTCTGGGGCCTTGTGCAAGAGAAGGAATTTACAGTTTTCTTTTCGGTGGGCTGTGCTGCTTCTAATCAAAGCATAAATGGGGTGACTATGTAAACTCCTGGCTGGCCATCAGTCCCTGTTGAAGACCAAATGCATTTATTTTATTGAAGTTATTAGCAATAAGATACCAGGCTAGTCTCCCCTTCACCAAAATATTATTAGACAGGGAAAGCCTTAATTTCTCTGTGAGGGCAGTTTTCCAGCCAGCGTGAGTATAATCTTTTCTCACACCGACCTCTATTGTCATTGCTTTATCTTCATTAAAGCTTGTATTCTGCCAGAAAAGCATATGGGATATGAAAAAGAGGATATATACTCTTTCTTTTTTAAGTCAAGACCAAACAAAAGGCCCAAGATGCAGATTCATGGTATGCCTAATGTCTTGCCAAACGTCTCCATATTTCAGACTAGTTTTATGGGTTTCAATTTATGTAAGTGTCCAAAAGCTTGTTTTTGTTTTAAGATGATCAAAGCATTTTGTTATAGCCACAAGATTCAAGGACCTAGTGAGCAAATCACTTAGATTTGTCTTTTCAACAAAGGAAACAATGAGAAGCGATTACAGGTAATACTTAAAGGTTTATCCATGTGTGGATTGTAAGTGGTCAGCCTATTCTTTAGAAATTGGTCACTGCAGAACAGAGCATCACGGAGAAACTGTTACTTGAGGACACAGCTTTTACAAGGGTGGTTGAACCTTGTTTCCTAGAAATCTGGTCCACACCTTCCACAAGGAAGTCACACCTGGTCCCTGATGTTCAGGCATATGTTCTTGTCTAACGGGCCCTCGATAGCAGGCATGCCACCAAAGTCCTTGGGAGGCTAGAGGGCTGCAGAAGGAACTCCAGCTTGGGATCCAATCTCAGGCATGGATGGTCTACATAAATATCAACCATTTACTCAACTGTGAAATGGAGATGATAATACCTATATCTCTTAGGATTCTTGTGCAGATTACAGTAAATGAGATAATGTATTTAATATATTTGCCATAGAGTGAGTTGAAGGCAGCCAGTAAATTAATGGTGGCTGCCACCACATGTGAGTGAGGTACTCAGACATCTCAGCTGGACCACTACCTCGAGTGCACATCTTGTTGGACAGAAGGGAGACACACATGGTCTGATGAATGCCCATCATTGACACATGCAGATTTCTCTCTATCCCTCTCCCTTTGGGAAACACACTTCCAAATTGCGTAAAGGACACTGCAATAATAACTGATACTATTTCCAAGCAGGAGCACCGCCGCCAGCCACCCAGGGCTCATCTCCATCTCCTGGGATCAGGCACAACCTGAGGCTCCTGGCTGCATGGCCAGCTCACCCCAGTCAAGGACTGCAGCTTCTCCTCCGAGCCAACCCTGAATATCTAAGGGGCTATTGATGTTCACACTCTAATTTTTCTCAGACAGCCTTCGGAGGCCTACCCCCATCTACATCTGAGCTTCTCACACAGTATATTGTGCCCAGGTCTTAAGATTCTTTGGAACAGACTTTGTGCTGGTTGCCAAGATCAAAATTTGATCTGTGGGCAGAAGTGTTCTTTCCCACATAATGTGTCCTCCTTTATTTGCATCACTTGCTCTCTCAGGCCTTTGGATTCTCAGTCTTGGCATCACCGTTCATTCCTTGCCCTGTTCCCTGTGGCACTCGGCAGTGAGGCCAAAACGATCTGGAGTCACAGTCAGAGCCCAGCCGGAGGAAGAGGGACAGGGAGAGAGAGGAGGCAGGCACAGGGCTGAGCTCAGAGAAGAAAACGTGTGTGTTTCCTATTTTTTTTTTAACTCACTAAGACATGTATTGTCCTTGAAGAAATTCAAAAATTTCAAGCACTCCTCCAGGTCATTCCCGCTATTGCTGCAGTCGCACCACGGGGCCACACTGAGGCTGCTCGAGTCTATGTAGTTGGGGGTCATGACTGTGCCTGAAAGAGTGAAAACAAGGCCTTTTAATTCGCATGTGACAACAGAGACTGTTCTATAGCCTCAAAAGAAACAAACGTTCCTCTGATGGTGGATGCACTGTGGATAATTACAAACATTGTGTTTGCTGAGTGGCAAATTATGGTAAGCAGTGCATTGTCTTGGCAATTTATCTTAAGCACATAAAATAATTTACACATTTACTTAAAAAATTATAACAGAACTCCCTAAGCTGCATTTAAGGTATTTTTTTTTTCGTGCCCAAATGGTATGGATGTCATGGAGTAGGAGAGAGAATTAACTTAGAATGCATGAGTTGCCAAATCCCTTGCATTTTCTTAAGAATGTTATTAATCTTCATAAATAGAGCGAGCTGGTTTTACGTATATTAAAAATCCTTTTAGGACTTTGAATCCACTTCCCTTGGAAGCAAATGGCTTCTTCAGAGTAACACAGGGAAGCTCAGAAGCTATCCGTATGGGTTACCCCACATCCTGAAGGTATATAACGAGGCCTCTGCTCACCAAACTCTCAACTTATTTAAAGTTTTCCAAGATGTGAAGGAATTGGAAATTAACAGTGGAAATTATTTCAGCCAACGGCTCCTAGAGTATTGTTGCAATAGTTCTCAATTGTTGCAAAAGACATGCTGGGTGGTCTCTTGTCTACATCTTCTTGTATTCATGGTTTTGCTGATGAGTTCTGTACTGGTGCATAAATGCATTGATATTTAATACAACCCAAATGTCTCCTGGGTGGCTCACACCAGGCAATGCCTACTCATGCCAAGGAGACTTCTGTTTTTATATACTGTGTGGAAGTAAGAAGCAATAGGCAATCAGTGATTCACAGGATATATATGGTTCACAAATAGAAAAAAAAAATTCTTTATATGCTCTTCTGGGTCAAGGGCATATCTTCTTTGCCCTGCATTCCTTACTGACTTGAACTATCATACCCCATTATACCCTGGGATGAGAACTTTGACCCACAGCAGAGAGCAAGCCCCTAACTTTGGGTGACAAAGGCCCAGGCATCCCCAGCACTGAGTAGAGAGGTTAAAATGTGTTTGCTAAGCATCTACTATATTCCTGGTGCCGTAGTGGGTCCCTGGCATATGGAAGAAATAGGAACAAGCTCTGTCCGGACAGAAGTTAGAGCTCAATGACCAGCATGAAGGGAGAGATCTGGGCCCAAGAGGAACATAAATTTTGGTCTACGGAATGCATTGCCTCAACCTTAAGTTTACTTCCTTGAATGGTGAGGATTTCACCGTCCTCAAAAACGATATGGTTGGCCAAGCCAGACATGCTGGAAGGCACTGTGCTCTGGCCGTTTGTGGAGTACTGAACGGGCATGAATGCCCGGAAGGGTGTGACCTAAGGTGTTGGTACTGATCACGTCTGGGGCTGGAGTTCTAAATCCTTAATATTATCTCTTTTGGGCTTCTCTGTATTTTTAAAAAACTTTTTACAATGAGTACAGCTTAATTATTTCCATTATTTCTTAAACCTATAATTCCATAGTTGGTAAGTAATCCCTACTAGAAATGAAATGATTTAAGAACAGAGAGCGAATGCAAATTTGGAACACTGACTTAAGGGAGATACACTCATTGGGCATACCCATAGTAAATAACTGGTGTGGGGTAGAACCCAAGAGAGCTCAGGTATCCTTCCAAAAAAACATTGGGATGAGTACACAGACATGTGTGATACTCCTGTGTGAAGGCCGGTTGTTGGTTTTCCCAACAGCTCTTGCTGAAGACGTTCTGGTGACAAAGAACTTAGTCTGCACTGTCTTTCTTAGTGGGAAGTTCTTCCTGCCTGGTGACTGGTGTGATCCTGGCAGGAATGCAAAGTCTGGCTAAGCCATGATGCTTCAGACAAGCGTGAGCCCCTCACGCCTCCACGGCCGTCAGTATGTGTTCATTCTCAGATGTCAGTGGTGACAGGCCTGCTACCTGGCACAGCTGCCTCTCCTCCCGCCTGCCTCCGTTTATCCCCGGAGACAAAGCTGATTCACTTCAGGCCCCCTCCCAGCTCACTGGTGCCTTAATGCACTGCTCTGAATGCTTAGAACCTGCTCCTCTAAAGCCTCTTAACATCAAATAGCAAAAAACGTGATTCCTATGACAGAGCACCTACCACAAGGCAGGCACTGCTCTATGCAGAGATGTAACTAATTTCGTTAAAAGAAAAACCTACCCCAAACCTCATCAATATAGAGGGAAAATTTAAGTAAGATGATTCTTTTCCCTTTCTGCTCCCAGTCTTCCAAAACAAAATCTGCATAATTAGGCAGGAACAGCCCTGCTTAAATGAAAAGTTTAAAATGCAAAACTTTAAAAGCTTATTACAATTTCATGGGATTAGATTGTTTTTATGGCAGGAGTAAATTGGTTGTGTGTTGCTCCCCTCCCCAAAATGAATTAAAAACAGTTTTTAATCAGGTCCTCAGGGATTTGGTCTGGATTTAGGAATTTTTTATTTCATATTAATTGTATAAGAAATCAGACTCTTCCGTTTGGCATCTGAATGTGCAAATTGTGAATATATGACTCTTAGCAGGCATTTTTTGATATACAAGACAGAATAATTTTAAGCCTAATCATCCTCTCCAAAGTGGCATTTTTGTTCTAAAGCTGTTATCCTTTAAGTTCAGCAAATTGGAAGCTTGTTTTCCAAAACTTCACATTTTTTAGACTGTGAGAAACAGCTTCAAATTAATATAGATGCTTTTTATGTTCCTAGCTATGTTACATGGCTTATGGGTGGGTAGAATGTAGAGAAAAATGTCCATGGGGGGCTGTTTCCTTGAATGACCCCAAACAACAAGAACCAAACCCTTCCATTTTCTTGTGAAGACATGTAGATTCAAGAGACCCTTGCCATTTACTGAAACTACCTGTGTTTCCCAGTGTGTTTGCCTTGCCACGTGGGGAGGCTGTTGGCCTGCTCAGTCATTCATTCAGACGACAATGGCACATCTACTCAGCACCGGGCACTGCTCTCTGCTGAGGCTACAGCAGTGGACCATAATGACAGTGACAAAGGACAAGAATCTCTGCCCTCCTGAAGGTCACATTCTGGTTGGAGAGGCAAAGAAGTAAGATATATAATACATTAGGTGGTAAGAAATGCTTGGAGAAAACTGAAGCAGGGGTGAGAATGGAGAGCTGCCGTTGAGATACTGTGGTCCAGGGAGGTGAAGGTGGCATCTGAAGAAGGACTTGGATGACAATGGTTGATATCTCACCTCCGCCTCCTGTTCGTTCTTCTCTCTCCCCTCACCTCTGCCTTGCTCTTTAGCTTAAAAAATAACTGTTTCCTCCCCAGTAACCAGAAGTAAACAATAGGTTAAAGTCATGTTCAAGATAGAAGAATCTGGAAGAAATTTGCTAATCTGAAATTAGCCGAATTGGGTTAATGCATTTGGGTTGGAATTTATAAATTCCCAATGCCTTCTACTCTGGGGCCTTGTGCAAGAGAAGGAATTTACAGTTTTCTTTTCGGTGGGCTGTGCTGCTTCTAATCAAAGCATAAATGGGGTGACTATGTAAACTCCTGGCTGGCCATCAGTCCCTGTTGAAGACCAAATGCATTTATTTTATTGAAGTTATTAGCAATAAGATACCAGGCTAGTCTCCCCTTCACCAAAATATTATTAGACAGGGAAAGCCTTAATTTCTCTGTGAGGGCAGTTTTCCAGCCAGCGTGAGTATAATCTTTTCTCACACCGACCTCTATTGTCATTGCTTTATCTTCATTAAAGCTTGTATTCTGCCAGAAAAGCATATGGGATATGAAAAAGAGGATATATACTCTTTCTTTTTTAAGTCAAGACCAAACAAAAGGCCCAAGATGCAGATTCATGGTATGCCTAATGTCTTGCCAAACGTCTCCATATTTCAGACTAGTTTTATGGGTTTCAATTTATGTAAGTGTCCAAAAGCTTGTTTTTGTTTTAAGATGATCAAAGCATTTTGTTATAGCCACAAGATTCAAGGACCTAGTGAGCAAATCACTTAGATTTGTCTTTTCAACAAAGGAAACAATGAGAAGCGATTACAGGTAATACTTAAAGGTTTATCCATGTGTGGATTGTAAGTGGTCAGCCTATTCTTTAGAAATTGGTCACTGCAGAACAGAGCATCACGGAGAAACTGTTACTTGAGGACACAGCTTTTACAAGGGTGGTTGAACCTTGTTTCCTAGAAATCTGGTCCACACCTTCCACAAGGAAGTCACACCTGGTCCCTGATGTTCAGGCATATGTTCTTGTCTAACGGGCCCTCGATAGCAGGCATGCCACCAAAGTCCTTGGGAGGCTAGAGGGCTGCAGAAGGAACTCCAGCTTGGGATCCAATCTCAGGCATGGATGGTCTACATAAATATCAACCATTTACTCAACTGTGAAATGGAGATGATAATACCTATATCTCTTAGGATTCTTGTGCAGATTACAGTAAATGAGATAATGTATTTAATATATTTGCCATAGAGTGAGTTGAAGGCAGCCAGTAAATTAATGGTGGCTGCCACCACATGTGAGTGAGGTACTCAGACATCTCAGCTGGACCACTACCTCGAGTGCACATCTTGTTGGACAGAAGGGAGACACACATGGTCTGATGAATGCCCATCATTGACACATGCAGATTTCTCTCTATCCCTCTCCCTTTGGGAAACACACTTCCAAATTGCCTAAAGGACACTGCAATAATAACTGATACTATTTCCAAGCAGGAGCACCGCCGCCAGCCACCCAGGGCTCATCTCCATCTCCTGGGATCAGGCACAACCTGAGGCTCCTGGCTGCATGGCCAGCTCACCCCAGTCAAGGACTGCAGCTTCTCCTCCGAGCCAACCCTGAATATCTAAGGGGCTATTGATGTTCACACTCTAATTTTTCTCAGACAGCCTTCGGAGGCCTACCCCCATCTACATCTGAGCTTCTCACACAGTATATTGTGCCCAGGTCTTAAGATTCTTTGGAACAGACTTTGTGCTGGTTGCCAAGATCAAAATTTGATCTGTGGGCAGAAGTGTTCTTTCCCACATAATGTGTCCTCCTTTATTTGCATCACTTGCTCTCTCAGGCCTTTGGATTCTCAGTCTTGGCATCACCGTTCATTCCTTGCCCTGTTCCCTGTGGCACTCGGCAGTGAGGCCAAAACGATCTGGAGTCACAGTCAGAGCCCAGCCGGAGGAAGAGGGACAGGGAGAGAGAGGAGGCAGGCACAGGGCTGAGCTCAGAGAAGAAAACGTGTGTGTTTCCTATTTTTTTTTTAACTCACTAAGACATGTATTGTCCTTGAAGAAATTCAAAAATTTCAAGCACTCCTCCAGGTCATTCCCGCTATTGCTGCAGTCGCACCACGGGGCCACACTGAGGCTGCTCGAGTCTATGTAGTTGGGGGTCATGACTGTGCCTGAAAGAGTGAAAACAAGGCCTTTTAATTCGCATGTGACAACAGAGACTGTTCTATAGCCTCAAAAGAAACAAACGTTCCTCTGATGGTGGATGCACTGTGGATAATTACAAACATTGTGTTTGCTGAGTGGCAAATTATGGTAAGCAGTGCATTGTCTTGGCAATTTATCTTAAGCACATAAAATAATTTACACATTTACTTAAAAAATTATAACAGAACTCCCTAAGCTGCACTTAAGGTATTTTTTTTTTCGTGCCCAAATGGTATGGATGTCATGGAGTAGGAGAGAGAATTAACTTAGAATGCATGAGTTGCCAAATCCCTTGCATTTTCTTAAGAATGTTATTAATCTTCATAAATAGAGCGAGCTGGTTTTACGTATATTAAAAATCCTTTTAGGACTTTGAATCCACTTCCCTTGGAAGCAAATGGCTTCTTCAGAGTAACACAGGGAAGCTCAGAAGCTATCCGTATGGGTTACCCCACATCCTGAAGGTATATAACGAGGCCTCTGCTCACCAAACTCTCAACTTATTTAAAGTTTTCCAAGATGTGAAGGAATTGGAAATTAACAGTGGAAATTATTTCAGCCAACGGCTCCTAGAGTATTGTTGCAATAGTTCTCAATTGTTGCAAAAGACATGCTGGGTGGTCTCTTGTCTACATCTTCTTGTATTCATGGTTTTGCTGATGAGTTCTGTACTGGTGCATAAATGCATTGATATTTAATACAACCCAAATGTCTCCTGGGTGGCTCACACCAGGCAATGCCTACTCATGCCAAGGAGACTTCTGTTTTTATATACTGTGTGGAAGTAAGAAGCAATAGGCAATCAGTGATTCACAGGATATATATGGTTCACAAATAGAAAAAAAAAATTCTTTATATGCTCTTCTGGGTCAAGGGCATATCTTCTTTGCCCTGCATTCCTTACTGACTTGAACTATCATACCCCATTATACCCTGGGATGAGAACTTTGACCCACAGCAGAGAGCAAGCCCCTAACTTTGGGTGACAAAGGCCCAGGCATCCCCAGCACTGAGTAGAGAGGTTAAAATGTGTTTGCTAAGCATCTACTATATTCCTGGTGCCGTAGTGGGTCCCTGGCATATGGAAGAAATAGGAACAAGCTCTGTCCGGACAGAAGTTAGAGCTCAATGACCAGCATGAAGGGAGAGATCTGGGCCCAAGAGGAACATAAATTTTGGTCTACGGAATGCATTGCCTCAACCTTAAGTTTACTTCCTTGAATGGTGAGGATTTCACCGTCCTCAAAAACGATATGGTTGGCCAAGCCAGACATGCTGGAAGGCACTGTGCTCTGGCCGTTTGTGGAGTACTGAACGGGCATGAATGCCCGGAAGGGTGTGACCTAAGGTGTTGGTACTGATCACGTCTGGGGCTGGAGTTCTAAATCCTTAATATTATCTCTTTTGGGCTTCTCTGTATTTTTAAAAAACTTTTTACAATGAGTACAGCTTAATTATTTCCATTATTTCTTAAACCTATAATTCCATAGTTGGTAAGTAATCCCTACTAGAAATGAAATGATTTAAGAACAGAGAGCGAATGCAAATTTGGAACACTGACTTAAGGGAGATACACTCATTGGGCATACCCATAGTAAATAACTGGTGTGGGGTAGAACCCAAGAGAGCTCAGGTATCCTTCCAAAAAAACATTGGGATGAGTACACAGACATGTGTGATACTCCTGTGTGAAGGCCGGTTGTTGGTTTTCCCAACAGCTCTTGCTGAAGACGTTCTGGTGACAAAGAACTTAGTCTGCACTGTCTTTCTTAGTGGGAAGTTCTTCCTGCCTGGTGACTGGTGTGATCCTGGCAGGAATGCAAAGTCTGGCTAAGCCATGATGCTTCAGACAAGCGTGAGCCCCTCACGCCTCCACGGCCGTCAGTATGTGTTCATTCTCAGATGTCAGTGGTGACAGGCCTGCTACCTGGCACAGCTGCCTCTCCTCCCGCCTGCCTCCGTTTATCCCCGGAGACAAAGCTGATTCACTTCAGGCCCCCTCCCAGCTCACTGGTGCCTTAATGCACTGCTCTGAATGCTTAGAACCTGCTCCTCTAAAGCCTCAAATCTTAAAAGACAGAAAATACTGTTTCTGCTATGTCTGTTCTCAGGAAAAAAAAAAAAATTAGGCTAAATAACCCCCTGCATACCAGGAGCTGAATTACCAAGAATATTCATCGTGAGAAGGACCCCAGTATTTAGGGGTCTTATTTCTGGGAAACAGCCTTTTTGATTTCTCCAGACGGAATGACTTCCAAGTTCCCTAATTCAATTAGCTTGGTTTGACTTGCTTCCCTCTGACATACCCACACTTATTTCCTCTTTTTGTTCTGCGTGGTCAGTTCTCCAGCTGAGATGCTTCTCGGGTCTTCACACTTGTAGTCTTGCTTCTCTTTAAGAATCCCTGCTTCCTGCTTTCGCCTTTGCACGTTCATTATCCTCTTTTCTTCTTCTTTTTTTTTTTTTACAGGCGAGTCCTAAGGGGCCTAACATCAAAACCCCAGCACAGAGAGCTACTAGGAGATTTGACTTTCACAGGCTCCAGCGGAAACAGTGTGTATTTGTAAACCGACTTTTCTCCGTCTCCCTTCTCCCCCTCTTACCAATAAGTCCTGAGTAGGCAAGCAGGCAGTCAGCATAGTTTTCCTTTAGACAGCTGCTGGCAGACCTTGACTCCGGTTGGCAGTTGGTAAAAAAATCCGCAAGGCGAGATCTGCAGTAGGAAGAAAGAGGGAGGTTGTCTTTTAAAATATCCTAAGCTTCTGACATAATTTTTCTTTATTCCTTTGCTAATATGATTTTTTCCACAACAAAAAAATACAGAAAACGAGAATTCTTAAAATGTCATCATCGTCTCTCATACACCCCTGATGACCCTCCCCCCTAAAAGGGTCTACTTATTTGCAAAGAAGTCTTCAGGGCCTGTAACTGGAGAAATCTAGGTGCTTTGAAGTTTCTGCTCAATAGTTATTTCTGACGACTTATTTGCATCTTTCGGAAATATGCTCTCTCCACACTCACCAGAGGGCCACACTGGGAAAATATTTACTTTATACAGAAACATGTCCCTTGCATCACAACAGGATTGCACAGCCCATCTGCTCCCGTAATTCCTGCTGGCTTTAAAAATACGGGTATCTCTCTTACAAGTCATCTCTCATCCACCAGCCCAGGGGACAGTGATGTCCTCCAGCCAAGTGACCCTGAGGAGGAGCTCGCCTTCATGGCACTGAAGGGACAAGCAGGAGGGACAGGGGAAGCTGGCTCTGGGCGGGCGGCGGCGTGTCTGCGTGGGCGCGGGAATCTGCGGTGGGAGGCGGAGCATGGCGGGGGCCGACCAAAGGGCAGCCTGTGTCTGCGGTTTGGGAGCTCTCCGGGGTTGTGCTGAAGCTGCAGAGACCCCAAAGTGGTGAGGGATCCAGGCACGCTGGTTTCAGTAGGAAGAGGGCTCTCTGGGGCCAAAAAATGGCCGTTTTTCAATCTGAAGAGGATGTTGTTGGAGAAACCCTGCATGAGAGCCGGGCCACCTCTGAGGTCATCTCAGTAGACAACAGCCCTGCTTCTATATGAAGAACACAATGGACTTCAAGAGGATTCAAATTACCCAGCAATTATGAAGACAATGCATGGCTCTCTCGGCTCCCTTCTCTTTAGCTCACTTGGGATGGCAGCCAAAACACCCAGCGCCGTTTTCACGTCTTTCCCCACAAGAAACTGTACTTGCTTAGCATACTTTGTGATATAAACTTCTGTGTGTGCTTACATTGGTGAGACAGAACAAGGTAGAATGTGTGGAGATCACAGAGGTTTGCGGAGGCCCAGTAGGGAGCACACATGTGTGTCCCTTTACTACAACTTTAACTAGAAGGAGATTAAGAAGCCAAATGAAATTGTCTCAGGTCACAGCACTCCGCAAAGGCTGCACTGGTGTTCGTGTGGTCTCTCCATGTGTGTGAGTCTCCCCGTGTGTGCTGATCTGGGCACCCCATGTGTCGGGCCTGGTTTCTTCTCCGTGAATCCCTGGGGCAGGTGCTGGGGCTCAGCTTTATTTTTTTTGCACAGCACCTGACACTCCTCAGAGAGGCTCTTCATAATGCTTCCCAAGCAGAGCCACGTGCTGAAGCTAAGTGGCTTGGTAGATCGTCCAGATGAGGCTTGTGTGTGTGCCTGGCTCTGTCCCACAGTCTGAGCCTAGCTGGTGTTTTCAACTCTAACTGAACACACTGAAGGGCATGAAACCTGGCCATTCTCTATAGTCTGGTTAAAGGATTTATTTTTCAGAGGAAATCCCTAAAGGTGGCTCAGGCTTACTCAACTGGCTCCAGGGGCATCCAGCTTGGATTGAGTGTTAATTTCAGAAGAATTTTCCTGGTTGTGAAAGTTAATGAGGAGCTTCTAACTTGCAGAGACCAAATGCATTTCAGGAAGCTGGAGTTTCAGTTGGGCACACAACCCGAATAGCGCTCTGACCTGGCAGCCCCAAGCTCCCTGCCCATCCCCTGGAGATGGACAGAAGGTGGCTCTGTCACCACGTCTCCTGTTTCTTGTAGTCTCTTGAGTGGACTATTAACTGAACAGCACCGTGATGCGGATTACCATCCTTCAGCGTGAGGCTAATGCCACCAGACTCATTTTGCTTAACAACCTCAGAATTGACTCACAATTGGACTCTGGAATGAAAGGCTAATTGAGTCAGTCTGCTACAGAGAGCATAACCCTGATCAAGAGGATAAAACAGATAGTCTGCTCTCAGCAGAACCCCAGTCAGGCTGGTTTCTGAGAGAAGATTGTCAGCACAGATCCTGGTCCTAAGATGAACACAGCCAGCAGCTGGAAAGAGAGTTTCAAAGGAATGGTGAGCACATGCACACTGCTAAAACATAACACTTCCCTGGTCTTCTCACATTTACCCATGTCCCCCTGACATTTATACTTGAAGACAAGGTGGTCACTTCAATGAAGAATTCACATTTTACAAACAGAATAATGGAAGTAAGAAGTGCGTACAGCAAAGCACCGGGGCACCTCACCACTGGCCGACTGGTAAATCTTCAGGAATTTTGCGGAGCGGTTAACATCACAGTGGCAGCCCGGATGCCACCTTGGTGGGGCCATGGTAACCAGCAAATACTACAAATCAGGGCTTTGTGTTTTTCTTGGAGAATCAAGACGTGCCCAATCCCACTGCCAAAGCACACGCCGTGTCGTGGGAGTTGAGCCCCAGCCCTTCTGGGACTGGCTTCCCCTCCCACTCCCACCACCTTTGGGCCAATGAGATGGGGTACCCATTAACTTCCGGTCTCTTACACTTCCCAGAGGGAGAAAACTGTCCTCCCCCAAAAGGTCTCCCTTCTCAGCATCTTCTCTTACTGACATGGTCCTCTGGAATCTCTCAAAGCAACGTGTCCAACGGTCACACTGATTGACAGAGCGGCTGAGTTCTTGTCCTTTCCACGGACTGAATGGCGCGTCAAGTGCTTTCGATATAATGATGAATATTTTCCCTGTCCCTGAACTCAAATAATCAGCAGTCTAGAAGCTGAGAGAGAAGTAGGTGAAAGGATTATAATACCACAGTGGCTAGTTCATGACACAAGGTAGGAAAGGCTGTTAATAAAAATAATACCTCACATGAATGAAGTGTTTATTATATATCAGTTATGTCTTTACACACTTGATATTTTTCCCTGACAACTGTAATAAGGTAGGAGCTATTATTTTATTATCCTAATTTTACAGAGGAGGAACCCACAGTTTAGCAAGTTTAGATGAGAGTAAAATAGTAAGTAGTAGAACCAGCATTTAAAACCACATATTCTGATCCTACAACTTAAGCTTTAAGCACTACACAGCTACAAAAGCTATTCTCAGCGAGGCCATGATGCTGGGACTGAGACTTGAAGGATGGGTAGGACCGTCAAGTAAAGTGCAGGAGTGTGCTCCAGGCAGATGCAAGCAGGGCATGATGACGTAACTGTGTTCATAATATTCCCAGGGTAACAAGAATGGAACGTCTGTGCCAGATACTGATTTAAGTGCTCAACATATTTTCACACACTTAATTCCCACAACAACCTTAGTAGGTGATACTATTGGCCTATTTTACAGATGAAGGAAGTTGAGTCAAGGGGAGCTTAAGGACCACCCTCCAGGTTGTAGAGCCCCTTGGTGGAGCTGGAATGTAGCCATATTCAATCTGACTAGGACCAGAGATCATCTGCAATCACTCCACTTCAAGCAGGCATCATCCAGAAAGCTGTGAGTCATTCACGCGGGCTGCCCGGGCCGCAGGAGGCACATGGTGAGTGAAGGCTGATGGCGCTGGCAAGGCTGTGAAGAGCCTCGAATGACCTAGAGTTTGGATTTTAACCTAAAAGCAGTGGGAGCCCCTGAAGGATTTTAAGCAGAGAAGTGACACCATCAGATCTGCATATTAAGAAGACTCTTACGTCTCTCAGTTTTTTCAACAAAGATTGGCTTAAGCCCCACTGTGTGCCCTCACTGTGCGAGCAGCAGGCCAGAGGTGGGGGACGGTCTCCTGGGAAGCCACAGGCAGCAGGAAGATGCAAGGGCAGGAAGGAGAGGGAGCAACAAGGTGTGCTGAGGGGTGGGTGTCACTAGGAGGAAGTCCCCACTGCAGAAAGAGGGACAGAACCGAGGCGTGGGCAGCTCATCAGACAGAGGTGCTGTGGGCAGAGCACAGGGGAGGCCAGGTCGGCAAGGGAGACAGTGAGGGGGGCTGTGGCTGTCCTGAGTGCATGGCACCATGGGGTGCCAAGCATCTAGCAGGCCGTTAGAGTGCCAGTCCTTCTCCTGACCAGCCACCAACCCAGCCCTGAGCACCTGCCCCCAACCCCAGCTTGCCAGCCCAGCCCTGCCTGCATACACTGCCCCTGCCCGCCCAGGCTAAGTGTCACACTGGAACCTGTTTCAATGGATCCTCTCCCCCGATCCAAACAAGGAAGCTTAAACATCCAGCGTGGGATTAACAAAGAAATTACCCAGCCGGATTTCTTCTGGAGACATGAAATCTCCATGACTACTGCAGTGATGAACCTGATTGTTTTCCTCGGAGAACACGAAAAGGAAATGAATAGGCACTAATGTAGAAATGCATCTCCCTCCGAGAGAAAATTTCCCACCCTAAAGAGGAGGAAAAAAGCCGGCAAATGCCACGTTAGCCTTAGGAAATGTGCTGAAGAGAAAACAGTGGTTTATGCAGAAAATATCATATTAAAGGACGCATGCTGCTAACTGGAAATAGAAAAATGGTTATAACGATAGAATCTAGGAGAATCTTCTCAAACAGCAGATGGTCTTTTGACTGGGGGAAAAAATCATTTACCTACTTTGTAACACTTTTAGGAAAATAGCATTATGGAGAACAGGTTAAGAAAACATACCAGTAACGCCCAGTTTAACTCATCCTGGATTATCCTAATCCTCTAAACGTTTTTTTCCAGGACAAATCTCATACTTGGACACAAGCCATGTGGTTGGTGGAATTGAGCCCTGGACTAAGAGTTGTGAAAACTTGAATGAGATCCAGGCTCTGACACTAATTAAGCAGAATTCCTGAATATATCGCTTAACTACTTCGCTCTTGGGTTCCCCTCCACTTGAGAACTACAGTCTATGGGACACTCGAAGCTAGTAAAAAGCAGTTGTTTACAAAGCATTATTATTCTCAACCCATGATTCCAGTTTGCCATT